TAAACAACTGTGAATATGTTTCCTTCAGTTGCTTTACTAAGTCGTTATGTTGTAAGTTGTTACAGTCACCAATACATAGTTTTATATTAAACGACGCTATAAAATCAAGACCCAACAGAACCGGTTGTTTTACATCCGTTTTTATAATATAAAAACGAATTATTTTAGTACGATTTTCATACTTCACGGGTAATAAACAATAACTCAAAGGAGATATTTTTGAGCCATTATAACAATTTAAAATAACGTTACAATGGTTTAATGAATAATCATTGTGAAAATAGGATTGATACTGTCTATTTCACATAAAATTTGCTTTGACGCTATCGACACAACCGCTCTCATCGGTGTACCATTTAACCATCCTATATTATAAAAATCTTATGAAATACCTTTTACTAAATCGTTGTCATCCAAATAATTGTTGATATTAAAACCACTCTTACATACACGTTTAAAATGCTCTCTTTTGTTACTAAAACAGACAAAAATAATTCGCATACTGACATTTATCTTTGGTATGGTTCTAATATCCACAAACCAAGCAAGTATATTTTTTTTTTCTATAGTTTGACGAACAGAATTTTCTTGGGCTCGTAAAGCGAAAACGGTTTGCGCTGCCGCTGATGATATGACTAGTCCCTCATCTTGCAATGACCTTTGAACTGCAACTCGAGCACTTCGTACGCTTTGTGCCAATTTCAACGCTTTGTTGAATGTCAAGCTATCGATGTTTTCACTAAAAAACTTTTCTTTCTCCTTGGCATATGCCAATCCTAATACAAACTTGTCACTTAATGTCGTCTCGAGTTCTATTTTAAAACCACAAAACTGTGCGAGATGACGAACCCGGGCCGCCTATTAAGTTAACTTTTCGCCTGGTCTTTGCTCCGCTTTATAAAAAACATATCTTTCAGCAAACACACATTTCTGTGAGGAAAATTGGTTGTCAATTTTTTCAATAAGAGTCTTATAAGCTAAGCCTTCTGGTTTTAACGGAAAAATGAAATCGCGTACTAAGCAATATGTACCTTCTGTTAATGATGTGAGCAAAAAAGCTCTTATCATAACTTCTGCTTTGTCCGTGTCTGTCATGATAATCATTTGTCATACAAAACTGGACAAACCAACTCTTAAAAATATCCCACTCTTGCATGTGGTGATCAAATGTGAGTTTGTTGCCGAACAACACATTTCCTTTATTTGACATTATTTATTTGTAATTATTTAACTTTTTTGCACTCAATAATGCGTGAATAAGGTTATCGTCGTCGCCAAAAATATTGTGTATTTATGGGGATTTCACCACTAAAACACAAATGAAATCTTAGTTTTAAGATCTTAGTTTTTCATGAGCCTACAATATGGCTTACATACTCTAAAATAATATTTTTTTTATAGCAGAGGGGGCAAACAAGCATGCGGCTCACCTGATGGTAAGTGACTACCGCCGCCCATGAACAACTGCAACACCAGGGGAACTGCAGATCGTTGCCGGCCTTTTAAAAAGGAGTAGGCGCTTTTCTTGAAGGTCCCTAAGTCGTATCGGTCCGGAAAAATCGCTGGTGGTAATCGATTCCACAAGGAAGTTGTGCGAGGGAAAACTTTTTCTAAATCGCACAGTGGTGGACCGCCAATCACCCAGATGGTGTGGATGGTATCGCGAGTTTTGTCGCGATGTGGGATGGTGAAATTGAGCGGGGAGTTGGGTCTGGCAGTAGAAGCACGAGAGTAGAATAAATGCTGTAGAAATGCTGTCATTAAGGATTATATTAGTGCTGAATCTGAATGACAGGGTGAGAAATTGTGTGATAAGAGAAAAGTTTGGTTTGCAAAATGATGTTGTGACCAGGATTAAGAAAAAGTGCTGCGGTGGTTTGGTCATGTAGAAAAAATAACCAAAAAAAGAGTGACAAAGCAAATCTATGTTGCAGAAGTGAACGGCACCATGCCCGATGTGCGGTTCTCACAGCGATCGATCTGCAAAGCACTCCTCACCCTGGACATCCACAAGTCGAGTGGGCATGACGGAATCCCCCCAATTGTGCTGAGGACGTGTGCTCCGGAGTCGGCACCAGTTCTAACGTGTCTTTTCCGGTACTCCTACTCCCTAGGCGTAGTCCCGAAATCATGGAAGATAGCTTTTGTCCACCCGATCCCTAAAAAAGGTGACCGCTCAGACCCGTCCAACTACAGGCCTATCGCCATCACCCCCTTGTTTTCCAAAATAATGGAATAAGTTATAAACTGTCACCTCATGCGGTACCTTGAGGATCACCAGCTGATTAGTGACCGCCAATACGGTTTTCGACGGGGTAGATCAGCTGGTGATCTTCTGGTCTACTTGACTCAAAGATGGGCGTAGGCAGTAGAGTCCAAGAGTTAGTTTGGATATTGCGAAGGCCTTCGATCGGGTTTGGCACAAAGCGCTTCTTTCGAAGCTCCCTTCCTATGGGCTTCCCGAGAAATTGTGCAATTGGATCACCAGATTTCTTGCAGATTGGAGCATCAAGGTCGTTGTAGACGGTGCATGCTCCGACTACAATCCTATTAACGCTGGTGTTCCACAAGGCTGCGTGCTATGATCAACGCTGTTTCTTCTGTATATCAATGATATGTTGCAAACCGGTAGCATTCATTGTTATGCTGATGACAGCACTGGTGATGCTCTATACACCGGCTATGCCAATATTTCTCGGAAAAACGTCGCTGAGTACCGGAACAACTTGTGTCTGAAGTCGAGTCTTTGCTGAACAAAGTCTCGGATTAGGGGCGACCAAATCTAGTCCAGTTTAATCCTCAGAAGACACAAGTTTGCGCGTTTACCGCTAAAAAGAACCCCTTTGTTGTATCTCCTCAGTTTCAAGGCACTCCCCTTGTTGCCTCAGCCAGGATCGGAATCCTCGGCATAGACATATCGAGGGACGTGCAGTTTCGTGGTCACTTGGAAGAGAAGGCCAAATTGGCCTCTAAAAAGCTTGGCGTGCTCAGCAGAGCGGGACAGTATTCCATGCCGGTACAACGCCTGCAACTTTACAAGGCGCAGGTTCGGCCTCACATGGAATACTGTTCCCATCTTTGGGCAGGGGCTCCCCAGTGCTAGCTCCTTCCACTTGACCACATCCAGCGCAGAGCGGCTCTAATCGTCGATGACTGAGTCCTTTCCGAACGGCTCGATTCACTGGCGCTGCGAAGAGATGTTGCATCTCTTTGCATTTTCTTTCGCATTTACCACGGAGAGTGCTCTGAGAAATAGTTCGGATTAATACCAGCCGCCAAATTTCACGAACTCACTTCGCGGCAGAACTCCCGATACCATCCACACCATCTGGATAATTGGCAGTCCACCACTGTGCGATTTAGAAGATGTTTTCTTCCTCGCACAACTTCCTTGTGTAATAGTTTACCACCAGCGATTTTTTCGGACCGATACGACTTAGGGACCTTCAAGAAAAGAGCCTACCCCTTTTTAAAAGGCTGGCAACGCATCTGCAATTCCCCTGGTTCCCCTGGTGTTGCGGTTGTTCATGGGCGGCGGTAGTAACTTACCATCAGTGAGCCGCATGCTCGTTTGCCCCCTCTTCTATAAAAAAAAAATATTCGAGCTTCTTAGAGGCTTTGCGTGATAGCTTTTAGAATTTTATTGTAATAGGTTTGAACTGAAATATTTTTTTGAGGTTCTAGTAGGTTTGGTAGGTGGGCTGTAATTCACTCTTTGTATCTGCCTAATCATTTATTAGTAATTTTGACTGTTTTTGATTGGCTTCCCAATATTCAGCAGTGCTGCAACTATGAAACGCTATAATGAGTATAGGATTTTCTTGCGATAGATTTTTTTATGGAATTAGGATGACAGCGCACATGATGGCAAGTGGATGTTGTGGCCCATAGACATCAGTCTAGATATATCCTCGATTAAGAATCAAAATGTAGATGCGTTGTCACCCCTGAGGACTAAGATGGAATGCCTCGTTTCCAGTAAAAAGGGTGTCCGGTTCTCTACACTCACCTTACGAAACAGCAGCATCAAGCTGTTATTTTATGCTGGTATTCTGTGAGGGCGTGGTCCTTCTAAGTTCGAGCCGACCCATTCGTGCTACAACTATAATATAACTGCAGCATGTACCACGTAGAATTGAATAAAAAATAAAAATACTATATTATCACGGATTTATTAACTTTTATAAGAAATTTTTACAATAAACCTGAAATATGTTCTTACCTAAAACCAAAAATGGCTTTCATAACCTTATGGGACTAATCGAGGTTCTATAAATAAATTACTTATTAGTAAACAATATTCGCATGTGGTGCGCAGATATCATTGTACAGGTTCACTGATTAAAATCAAAAAATAGTACCTATTTTATATCTTTGAAAGAATTCTATCTCTATATAAAAATCTCAAAACCGAATCATCCGATTTTGATGAAATTTTTTGTGCGTGTTTAAATGGGTGTTAGATGGTTTAGATTTGACATTTGGACCCGGCAGGTGGCGCTGTTGTCGAGCTCCAGAAATTACCCGTGCGAAGCCGGGGCGGACCGCTAGTTTTTTAATAACTATCAAACACTCATTTGAATTTGACGATCTTTTATCCATACACTTACAGGTATTAGCTATTCCATACGCTTCAAAAAAACTTTGTGATTATATTGACATATTATGGCTTTTCATTCTGTTTTTATCTTAGACTTAGAATATTCTGGTTTCTATATAATGTCGACTTAATTTCTAAAGGTAATAATTTCCTATTTCATTTAAAAAAAACGTATTTATATTTAGTCAAATATAAGTTTTACTTTCGTAGGACTATTTATTATTATATTTGAAAATAGCAGTGCTAGCACACGTCCACCTCAGATTCCTCTTTATTTAAATTAACCTATATTCTACACTCGACAGCTTGGAAATCATCAAGCAATTGAGTTACAAATACATAGGTGTATGAAATATTAATGATTTACGTATTAGTTAATTAAATTTATAAATTAAGTTATTTAGTCTGAAATCCATTCATCAAATGGAATCTGGTCCAGAATCCGTTCCAAGAAATGTGACATTTTCCCCGCTAAGTCTCGTTTCAACTCCGGCTTCATCTCTTTAAGAAGTTCTTGTGCGTTTGTGTTGATGAAGAGATTTAAAGCAGCCTCTGTGAACATCACAATTAAGAAATACTTAAAAATACATAATGAATAGTTGAATTCGTCTCATTTAAAGAATTGAGTCCATGCTTAATACAGAGTACAGATATATCAATTGATAAGGATTTAAAATTTTCAAGGCAGTTGAAGTGTCAACGGCATCCAACCTTACTTCATAAAAAATATACATTTAGGTATTATGAAGCGACAGCATACGAGAATCCATTTCTTTCTCTTATTTTGCCACATGTATTTTACTGAAGTCGGCTAAGGTAAGTAGGAAAAAAAATACCTCGAGAACTCTGGGTATTAGGGGAAATCTAACCAGCTTACAAAAATTATAGAGCCCTAGCTGTAGGCCGGAACATTTACTTTAAATTTGAAAGTATGCGAGCAACCAGTATATTATACAAACTGTATAACCTGACTGCAATTTTCAACGTCCAAATTTTATGTACTGAACGATCAGAGTTTAAATGTCTGAGATATAAAATTTATTTGCGTGACCTGAAATTCAACCATCAATTGCGTCGGGTTTTCTTCCCTTTTAGAATTTATCAATAACATTTTAGATTTTTTTTTATAAAACTGAAGTGATGAACGAACTTACAGTGTACCTGATGTTAAGTTACTACCGAAGTCTATCGACGCCTACAGTCAACTTCAAACAAAGTAGGCTTTAGATAGGTTGCTAATAACAAAGTAGATATTAAAAATGAAAACTAACCCAAAACCGCGTTAGTGTTCTGCAAATTCTCGACGCCCATTTGGATGTCTTTCACGGAGAAGTCCAGCTTCAGTTGTTGAAGCTTGAGGTACGTGCGCTTGTTGCGAGTGTACGGAGTGCCGCGGAAATACACTTTAGCCTTTACGCCATCTGGAAATATATAGAGTGAAGTATTCCTTTTCTTATAGAATAAGATTGACAAACGAGCATACAGTCCACCTGATGGTAAGTGGATCCCTGATTAAAAAACAAACACAAATGGACTGTCACCTCTGAGGACTAAGATGGTATGTCGTTATGCTTCGTTACCAGTAAAAAGGGTTTCGATTCTTTACACTCACCATACAAATACTCAGCGGAATTAAGCTGCTATTTCACGCTGATATTCTGTGAGAGCGTACGCATATCTCGGTCGAGCTGATCCATCCTTGCTACAACCATCATATGGCTGCAGCGTGGTTCTACCACGTATAACATAGATATTGTTGCGCGCGCCACAATTAATACCACTAGCGCCCTCTAGTATCGAGTAGCATAACTAGGAGAGTCAAGAACTCAGATCATAGAAACAACAGTTGTTTCTATGATCTGAGGTCAAGAACCTTCTATAAATTTCCATAGAAGAACTTTCTGGAACTATCGACACCTAGTCAATCGGGACCGATATGTACTCGAACATTCTAGATGTTTCTACAGTAGAAGGTTCTGGAAACTATCTGAGGCTCTATATAAGGCCGGTATTGACCGCGACCGAAGGAGTATTGAATTGGCGATATAAGCGAATACTTCGAAGCGATACAATTGCGAACTAAAGTGATCAGTAGTACAATTGTGTTTTATTATTACTGTGGTTTAAGTTATAATTAGTGCTCTGTAATTAAAGTGTCAATTTTGGCAATTCACTCGACAGGTTTCAATTGTCTTGAACCCCAAGCTCGTAACAATATTTAACTTTTCCGGTGCACCTAATGACAGACAGATGTAGCTATGGTGTCCGCCTAAAGGTGGCAACAAAACTTTGTATTTTTGTACGGGACTCCGGCTCCAATGGTCAACTCTCCGGAAAACCTGGAAAATTAGCTCATAAATAGATTCAAATTGCGGAGTTTTTCGGAACTACTAACTATAATTTAAGCCAGCTGAAGGCCAATGACGGCACTATCTCAGACGCTTAAGACAAAATAACTTGAGGTTTACATCAACATGGGAGCATTTGTTTCATCGTGAACACTAATAGTTCACATGTACAAAGATATACATATTACCGAAATCCACTTCAAACTATCATTTGATAAAACAGGAGCAACAAACCGCCGGCGGTCAAGTCGCATAAGACTTTTTTTTATAGAAGAGGGGCAAACGAGCATGCGGCTCACCTGATGGTAAGTGAATACCGGAGCGCATGAACAACTGCAATACCAGGGGAATTGCAGGTACGTTGCCGACCATTTAGAAAGGAATAAGCTATTTTCTTGAAGGTTCCTAACGATAAGTGATTACGACCGTCCAGAAAAATCGCCGATGGTTAGCAATTCCATATAGAAGTTGTACGGGGATGAAAACTCCTAGTAGCACTGTGGTGGACCGCCAAGCATCCAGATGGTATCGGGAATTTTGATGCGATGTGCGTTCGTGAAATTTGGTGGCTGGGATTAATGCGAACAGTTCCTCGGAGCACTCCCCGTGGTAGATGCGATAGAAAATGCAAAGGGACGCAACATCCCTACCCAGCGCCGGTGAATCGAGCCGATCATAAATAACACGGTCGTCGAGGATTCGAACCGTTCCCGACTTACTGCAGTGTGCAGTAAGTGCATATAACAGTCAACCATAGTTGCTCTATTGAACAATTATGCAAATAACTTTGGATTTAATAATAATACTGTACTTTAGACTGAATTTCGATCACGGTTGTCAGTCTCGACGTAGATTAGCCGTCTGAGTAGGGTAGGGTTGTAGTGCCAGAGTGTATGCGCAAGTACAAGTGTACTTTACATTCACTCACTCTTTGTCCGATGGGACGGCCATCCGTCACGACCGGAGAGAGATCAGGCGCAGTACCAACGACTTTATGTGCCTTTCTAGGCACGGGGGTGAAGCACTGCCAGCTTCCTGGCTCCACGCTCAAACCCCCATGATCAGCAGCCACGTTTATGACCACTAAACCAAGTCATTCATTCTTGTATTATTATATAGTAGGTATATATATATAAAGTTGATTAACTCTCGTACGTATTGCTAAGCCACTGCGCCACGGAGCTGTCTACTTTGACGGCTCCGTGGCGCATGGCTTAGCAAGGAGTTGTTGAGCTGGGGGCCGCAGGTTCGAATCCCGCACGAAACAAGTATCTGTATGGCCTGCAAATAATTGTTCCGAGTCTGGATGTTTGTCCTCGTGCAATTTATGTTTGTAAACTGCCTCCACGACACAGGAGAAAATCCTAGTGAGGGTGTAACGTATTTAAAAAATAAAATAAAAAAAGTACATATGTAAGCCTTACAAGGCAAAATTCAGGAGCGAAATATTGCTTTTTTTTAAATGTATTATATTGAATCGTTAAATTGTCATACTTTAAATAAGAATATTCAGGCTTGTAAATAAAAAAATGACCTTTTACGGAAATTCAGTCCTGTATTTGACATAACAATACAGTAGTTGATATTTATTCAAATTAGTGTTACGTGTAAGTTACGCTAAAATTTGAAGTTTTATCATTTTTTTGTATCATTCTTTAGCGTATTTGAATATTACATAGTAAGCAGTTGACATTTTTCCAACCAATGCAACGTTGATTGGTGTTGTCACTTGCGAAGGTTTTCGTGTAAAATATTTGTTTTGGGACCGGTTATTTGTTAAACATACGTAAATTGTTTTTTTGTTACGTAATTTGTTATTTACGTAGTTGTACAAAACGTATCCTTTATTTGAAGTTTTAAAGTAAATAATATTTATATGTACCTATTATTCCGTGAGTCCATAATATCTTAAGCTTCGTTTATTTTCGTAATTATTTTGTTTTCATTGTTTGAAATAATGTTATTTACGTCCCATTAACTGTAATTAATGAATATAACATCGAAATGTATACAACATTAAAAAAAACTACAACTTAAAACTTAATTTATCATACAATCCTACTCCCCGTGATATCGTCCTAAGCACCTAAGAACGCCGCGCCGGCTGCGTTTTCTCGCTGAATGGCTATATTTACTTTTGAGCGAGAAAAGAACCGGCTCTCTTATCACCAGCAGCGACGACCAGTATTGGATACAGTTTTCATTCATCCTCCCATTTGGAAGTTGTTAAAATGGCTCCAATGTTTGCTAATGCAAGTTTTAATATTTTCCACTTTTCTACCGACTTCAAAAAGGAGCCGGTACTCAATTCGACTCTATGTTTTTTTTATGTGTGTTACCTCATAACTTTTTACTGGTTCAACCGATTTCGATGATTCTTTTTTTATTTGAAAGCGGGTGCTTTACATGTGGTCCCATATAAATTTGATCAAGGTCTGACCAATATATTTTGAGTTATTCTTAATAGTTTATATTGAAGTCGGTTGTACAAAATTTTTTATTTAAAATTATATTATTAGGGTCTCTTAGAGTCCGGTTTACCTACTGTTTTTAAAGAATATATATTTGTATCGCATACATCTCGAGAGCAATTCATGAAATCGACTTCAAACCAATTCTATTCGACTCCTAATTGCAAAACAAATGCCAAATTATGTTTACATTAAAATCGATCTGTTGATTTACAAAAAACGCGGATTTACATTTTTTGTTTAAAAAAGTAGAAAAACATGCTTACTATTAAATTTTTGATATTATGTGTAAGTTATACATACCGTATTCGCCCCAATATTCGCCTCCTCCCGAGGCACGCACCAGCAGCAGAACTCCGGAGGAGCGGTAGCGGGCACGTGCGCTGATGTGTGGCCCAAACAAAGTCAACTGGAACTGGTAGGTGTCGAGATCCGATCTGAAACATAATATTTCTTGAATAGATTGATAGATTATAGTTTAAATTTGCTATACCTATAAGAAACGCGTGATTTGGTGCATTATTTAAACAAATTTTTGAAAAATAAAAAGCGTAAACACAAAAGTAATATTTAAAAAGAAAGTATTTTTACTTCTTTCTGCCTGATCCCAACTGTTTCGATTAGTTGACTAAGGAAAAAGCCTCTAAGATCTTTTAGGTTCGATTAATGGCTTTTATTTTAATTTCTACAGTTGCCCAACTATAGGTGCCCTAGGGTCTTTACATGGCAAACGACGGTCCTGGGTATGACGTGCGAGATTACTGCGATCCGCCTAAGTACCAGACAATTACGTCAAATCAGGGAGGAATTACGGGAGAATGGTAGAGAGAAAGACGTCCAGCTATGGACTAATAAGAGATGAGAATATATTTTAATTTAAACTTGGTTATTTGTCTTACATTATTCTATTAATTATTTTTGGAACGAAGTTCTTTATCGGACGGTACGGATTTGGCGGATGGGGGCTAGGCGAAAAAAGGGTAAGATTTTTCCGTCACGACCCCTTCTGACGTAGTGTAAACGGCTTTGGCGCGTATAAGGAAGCGAGTTGGAATAATTTCCATTTCCCTCGCACTTTTTCTTATCTTGCCATGAAATAAATATTATTTTATTTTAAATGACGCTTCATTTTAATAGACGCTAGTACATAATTCATTATTTGTATTTGTTAATCAATAATATAATACGTTTATCAATAATAATATACTACGAAAGGAACTTCGTTCCACCCGAGTGTTCCACGACACTCACGCATGTTTTTCTTATTTATCTTTTGAATATTATTTACACAAATGACTATTGCAATATGTGATGCTTGGAGTCAGCGGAAACATCTTAGTCTTCCGGGCGTCGCGTCGGCGCATTAGAATTTTTATTCATAGTCGAAGATATTTAGGTGATCCGGATAACCGACCTATTCGCGCTGTAGCTATAATACAATGCGTGACGCTGCCACATATGAAAATATTATATGAAATGAAATGAAAATCTTTCTCTTTGAAATGAAATGTGCGTGTATCTTCTCAGAAAACGGAAGGCTAATTCAGATGTTGCTTTAAACACGGTTGACTGTAACTCAATTATTAATGTAAACCGGTGGTGAAGTAACCGGATGGAGCTTTGCGGATGTCAATTACCAATATTAAAGTAGTTAAGAATTGCAGTGGACATATTTTCTGGTTAATTACCTCGATAATTTTGTAGAGACACGCAACGAACGATTAGATATTGACTCTAGTAGGCGAATGGGTCGATTTAGTAGTAAACGACTACAATACTTTTTAATATACTAAACCATACAGAAAGCATAGGCCACTCATAAATGTTGGTGAAACTAAAAAATGTTAATGGTTAAAGTTTATATTTTTAGAAATTTTTCAAAGATCTCTCCACCAGATTATATACAAAGATTCATGCGTCCGAATCAATTTTCTAAACACTTTTGGCACTTACTACTGTTTCTCTTTTTTTTTAATTTTAGCAAATAAAAAGAAATCACAAGGTGCCAAATCAGGACTTTGAAGAAAAGCTTGACCGGTGTGTTGTTCAAGAAGTCCATCAGCGTAAAAAAGTAGCCTATTGCTGCAATAAATCCTTCAATGAGTGACAAGAACAGGAAACTTTACTTGTAACCAGATATTCCATCTCAGCCCTCAATGTTGACAACGAATCTTTATTTTGATATTTACTCGAGGATAGATGTAGGTGTCTATGAGCTACAGTGATCACTTACCATCAGGTAGAGTGTGTGTTCGTCAACCTTGTTTGTATAAAACACTTTGACACAGGTTTGCTGACGCCATTGAAAACTAGCCTAAATCGTCGCCCTTGGCATGCGAATTGGCGATTGTACTATATTAAACGTCATGCACCTACCGCTGCTTGTCGTCGTCGGGTTGGGTGATTTACGTTTGGTGTAAACGGGGTGGTTTTACCGCCATCTATCGGAAGTCATGTGATCTTTCTGGTAATTTTGCTACTCACCTCATACGAAACTCCGAGGTTTTTCTAACCTTCCTCTTAGATTTCTCTTAGATTAATTTTGCCAAACTTAGAGGACGGAATGGGTAAATAAATACCTAATCATTTTAAAATCCAATGCCTCAGACAATAAGAAGTACGATGATACACTTCTAAAATAATTTTAAATCAGTGTCCTTGCGGGCTACATAACAAACAGCTTAGCGGTTCGAATGGTCTGTTGGCACTTGCAGTTTTTTTCATCGTCAGATGTAAATGTTATTCCAATGTCAATAATTATGAGTTATGCCTTTGTTTGCTGCGGCTTTGTCGTAAATGGTTGAAGCTGATTTATAAGGACATTCGACCCGTGTGTCATCGCCTGTGTGCTTGGAATATATTAACGTAAGAAAGAAAATGGATATAATTAGACATTACTTTGAGAATTTTTATATAGTGACTAATATACTCGTTGTGGTAGCTTCGGGGATGTACGATCGCCTTCAAATTTCACAGTACGCGATTCAATCGTTTGAACAAACCCATTTTTAAAATGCTAAGATGTTAAGATTTGCATTTATTTAATTCAAGGGGGTTATTTTATATTATACTAGATGACCCGGCGAACATCGTTTTACATTATTTCTAAAAAATATTTTTTAGTTTTAAAAATCGCGATTAAAAACAGGGCTTGATCGTAGAAGGGTGAAAATTTTAAGTTTTATATACTTTTCAACGTTAAATCATAATAAAATAAAAATTATTGTCAAAATTATCTAAATAAAATATTTAGGGGTGGGTCACCCTTATCATTTAAGGGTTTGAAAAATAGACGTTGGCCGATTCTCAGACTTACCCAATATGCACACAAAATTTCATACAAATCGGTTCAGCCGTTTCGGAGGAGTTTGGCAACAAACACTGCGACACGAGAATTTTATATATTAAAGATTTAAAAAGAAATAACAGCAGATGATGCCGGGTCAAAACACCAGGAAATTATATTATTTAATTTCGTATATAAACTCTAAAAATCATGTATATAAGCCGTGTGGTGACGACATGAGATAGCAGTAGGTAGCGCGCACGCACTTGTTCGCTTTTTGTGTATTTCCTATTTATCATATACTTAATATTACTTAGATTAAAGACTGGTCTGTAGGCGGGGGCTGGGGAATTGTTGTCATACAGGGAATCCTAGCCGTCTAGTGGCGGTTAGAATTATCCACTAACCCATATCTTGCCGTGGGTGTCGTAAGAGGCGACATTGGGAAACAGGCAGGAGATGGGCAGAAGCATCTTCCTGATAACAGCAATATTACAATAAAAAACTGCGGTTGCCAACCCGCTTGCCAAGCGTGGCAACTATGGCAAATAAAAAAGACGGCCCCCAGTCCCTAGCGGCCCCGCTATTCCTGGCTGTGGTGGCGACTATTGTAACGGCGCGGTAGGGGGTGCTAAGAATCTCCGGTGGAGGTTCGGTTGCCACCTAAGACGACTCGACCTGTCATCATACAACGCACGCACCCTGAGGACTGATGAAAAGATCCTGGAGCTGGAATATTATAGGATTATCCGAGGTCCGAAGGGAGGAGGAGGACACGGTAATCCTCGAATCCGGTAACTTTTTCTATCACCGGGAGGGCGACCATCTGTCCCAAGGAGGTGTCGGATTTATCATCCACACGTCTCTCGTTAACAACGTTGTAAAGATTGCGAGTGTGTCGACGAGGGTTGCGTGCCTTATTCTCAGAATCACCAAACAGTATTCGTTGAAAGTCCCACAGGTATATGCACCAACCTCGACACACCCCGACGAGCAGGTGTAGGAAATTTATGAGGATATCTCCAAAACCCACTATACGGTGTTAGTGGGAGATTTCAATGCAAAACTAGGCATAAGAAAGAACAGTAAGATGAAAGTAGGGAAATTAGGAATAGGACAACGGAACCCAAGGAGCCGACTTCATGTAGAAAGAGGGACTCTTTATGATGAACTCTTTCTTCCAGAAGCGGTCCCACAGGAAGTGGACCTGAAGGAGCCCCGACGGTTCAACAAAAAATGAGATTGACTTCATTATGACGACCAGACGACAACTGTTCAGTGATGTCTCAGTGATCGCGAGGGTGAAAACTAGCAGCGGTCACCGAATGGTTAGAGGCACACTCAGGTAGTTCAGTTTGGGCATGTGTAATGAATACTTCGTCCCCCTCGTGCTCTAATCCAAAGACCCGAAATCTTTCAACTCGAGTTACAAAACCGTTTTCAGTGCCTAGAATACTGCAATTTAGTGAACGATATGAATGACAAGCTCGTGGAAACTGTCCATGCGATCGGAGCTAAGTTCTGTAACCGCCACAGATGAACACAATAACTCTCCAATCACACTCTTAATCTCATGGCTGGTAGACGGGAAATGAAGCTGCAGTCTTCAACAGATTTGACAGCATACAGGCAACTGAACAGACATATTCCCAAATGCATGTGGCGGAACTTACACAACTTCAATACAGCTTGTATAGAAGAAGCGATCGAGCGGAACGAAGGCTCGAAAGTCTTTGCCAGAGATCTGCCTTCCAGAAAGAGCCAACTGTCAAAGTTGAAGACCGAGTGTGGCAGCATCGTTTCTAAGACATCTGAGATTTTGAGTGAGATTGAGAGGTTCAATGGGCAGCTGTAGACCTCATCGTTGGAGCCACACGCAAGTGTGAGTAATGATCCAAGAGCGAATCTTATCCGACACTATTCCGATGATATCCCGGACGTCAGTCTGAGCGAGATTAGAATGGCTCTCCAGCACCTTAAAAACAGCTAGGCCCCAGGCGAGGATGGAATTACAGCGGAGCTTCTGAAAGCGGGTGGAAAACCGGTACTTGAAGTCCTTCAGAAGCTCTATAATTCCGTCCTCCATAGTGGGATTACTACAGAGGCGTAGAGCAGAAGTGCGGTGGTCTTGTTCTTCAAGAAATGCGACAACGCTCACTAGGATAACTACAGACCGATTTCCCTTCTGAGCCGCGTCTACGTGCTGTTTTCGAAAGTCATTACGAATCGTCTCGCACGCAGATTCGACGACTTCCAGCCTCCCGAACAAGCCGGTTTCCGAAGAGACATTAGTACCATGGACCACATACCCACCCTTTGGCAAATTGTACAGAAAATTTTGGCAAATTGTCGAAATTTGGGCGGTGCTACGGTCCCTTCAGCGGTGCCAAGTTGACTGTCGATATATCGAAGTGATGAAGTGTTTGTACAGTAGGGCTACGATGGCTATCCGAGTACAGAATCAGAGCACGAAACCTATCCAACTGCAGAGAGGTTTATTTTTTTTATAGGATAAGGGTGACAAACGAGCACACACTCCACCTGATGGTAAGTGGTTGCTGCGGCCCATTGACATCTACATATATCCTCGTTTGCGAATGAAAATGCAGATGCGTTGCCACCTGTGAGGACTAAGATGGAATGTCTCATTTCCAGTAAAAAGGGCCTTCGGCCACCTGCATTCACCAAGCGAAACGCAGAGTAAGTAAACCTCTACTTCACACTGGTATTCTGTGAGGTCGTGGTACCACCCCGGTTCGAGCCGACCCATCCGTGCGACAGCAAAAGCTGCCGCGTGGCTCTACCACTGTCCATAAAAGGTGTAAGAAATCAATACAAAAAACGTCGATATCTCCGAAACTCTTTACCGCTGCATTGGAAGACGTTTTCAAGCTAATGGTCTGGAAAGGATACGGTATTAACATCAATGGCAAGTACATCATTCACCTTCGATTAGCCGACGATATATTCCTTATGGCAGAATCGCTGGAGGACCTAAGCACTATGCTCAATGAGCTCAATAGTGTCTCCCAACGGATAGGTCTTAAGATGAACATGGACAAAACAAAGATTATGTTTAATGTCCATGTCACATCTATGCCGGTAGTTGTTGGGAGCACTAAGCTCGAAGTTGTTGACGAGTGTGTTTACCTGGGACAAATAATCCGACTAGGTAAGTCCAACTTCGACCGAGAGGTCAATCGACGGATTCAACTCGGCTGGGCAGCGTTCGGGAAATTACGACATAACTTCTCGTCAGGTATACGTCAAAACTTGAAAACAAGATTGTACAACCAGTGCATGTTGCCAGTGATGACCTATGGAACTGAGACGTGGTCCTTCACTGCTGGCCGTATGAAGACGCTCAAGGTCATTCAGCGAGCTATGGAGAGGGCTATGCTCGAAGTTTCTCTGCGTGATAAACTTAGAAAAGAGGATATCCGCAGTAGAACCAAAGTAACCGACATTGCTCAATGGATTAGTAAGCTGAAGTGGCAATGGGCCGGCCATATAGCTCGAAGAACCAACAACCAATGGGGGAAAAAAGTCCTCCAGTGTCATCCTCGTGACAGTAGGCGAAGTGTAGGGCGACCCCCTACTAGATGGAGTGACGAACTGTTAAGACATGTAGGAAGTTGATGGATGCAGGTGGCACAGGATCATCAGGCAATCCACGGGAGAGGCCTATGTTCAGCAGTGGACTTGGGAGGGGCTGTAATGATGATGTGGATGATGATTGTGAGGACAAGGAATAAACTTTACTATTATTTAAAAAAAGGTATAAGTATTACCTGACATTTGTGATGGTCATATTGTTGGCGCCGCTTGCGTGGATATCTTTGAACGTGGCGCGGTAGCCATCTGGTCCGCTGCCTAGTGCAATGGATAGCTCGTCTATCACTATATCATTGGTCTGTGGACGGAAATACATAAAATTTAGGGTTCGAATCCGGGTTTACCACGGCTTACGGCACTTCTGATCTCGATTATAAAACAAAGAAAAATACGAGACAAAACTTTGTGGTCGCCGATTTAAAAAAAAAAACAGATATTGGGATATGGCATGGTATGGCATAGCTTGGCAATTACAGCAAATATCCCGATTTTGGGGGTATCCTAATTTCAGCAGGGTTCTTACAGGATGAAGAGGGTAGGAAATTAATAATTTAAATAGTTTTTGTTGTAAAATAGAAATAACATCATTGGCGAAATTAAACAACCAGTACTTTACTTATACGGGTTTTTTCCTGTAAGGAAATATTTTTTAATATTTGCTTTTTTTTTTAAAATACTGACGTATTGGAGTAAAAGGAATATCTCGTGGAAGCGTTTTGCGTACAAAATTGTTTATGCACAAACCGCCAGAACAGGTATAATTATTTACAGACCAAACAAATAAGTACTTGTTTAGCGCAGGATTCTAATCTTAGTCTTCTGATGTCGCAGTCGAACACTTTGCTACTGGAAAAGAATTTTGTGAACTTTATAGCAAAAACTAACATTCATTACTTTCAAACCGTTACCGTTACAGCCTATTAAAGTCCACTGCTAAACATAGGCCTCCTCATAGATTGCCACATACGGGGGATATTTGCCATAGTTGCCACCAACAAGCGGGTTGGCAACCGCATTTTATTTTTAATCGTTAACAAGAAAACGCTGTCGCCCATCTCCTGAATCGTTTCCCTGTGTCGTCTCTTTCGACACCCACGAGATAATATGGGGTAGTGGATATTCTTACACGCCATTACACGGTACTTTCTTATACTAATTTATTATTATTACAGTCCATAGACTGTACTTTACTCCATAGACTCATTGGGGGATATTTGCCACAGTTGCCAACTTGGCATGCGTATTGGCATTCGCAGTTATTATTATTATCAGGAACATACTGCTGCCCATCTCCTATTTATGTTTTACTAACGACATTTTTGGGATGAGAAGCTTTGACGATTGAAAGATTATATATATATATATTACTAGCTGAGCCGGCAAACGTTGTTTTGCTATATACATTATTTCTAAGAAATATTTTTTAGTTTTAAAAATCACGATTAAAAAATAGGGATTGATCGTAGAAGGGTGTAAATTTGAACTTTTATTTAGTTTTCAATGCTAAATCATAATAAAAAAAATGCTTATCAAAAAAAATATTTAGGTGTGGGTCACCCTTATCATTTAGGGGTTTGAGAAATAGATGTTGGCCGATTCTCAGATCTACCCGATATGCACACAAAATTTCATACAAATCGGTTCAGCCGTTTCTGAATTTTATATATTAGATGTTGTCTTTCGGTTAACCATCCTCGGCTGTATCACCACTTACTATCAGATGGTACAGTAGTCAAGCACTGGCTAAGAATAGTTTAAAAAAGTCTGTTCTGTTCACAGGAAGAAGCTATCTAGCTCAATTTAGTTATATTATTCCTGCTTAGTTTCCCTCTGCCGCATCTTAAGACCATAGGATGATATAACGTTTTGGATACTTTTACGTCACCTTTACACGGCAAGACTAAATAAAATTAAATGGTCATTAACAATATGTGACAAAGATAATAAACAAAATATAGTATTATACCTCTTCAATGCCAAGTTCAGGTGCTCCACCTTTCAGGTAGTCGAGGAGTGAGTTGAAACTTCGTTGAAGGCATGCGTCGACGTCGGGATCTTGTCGGGAACAGCGTTCGGGGAACATTCCTGGGCAAACAAATGTAAATATTAATTATGTATATATTTATATACGTTTTGAGATGTAAGTTATAGAGAGTAAGTACATTTTAGGTCATCATTCATCATCATCATTACAGCCCTTCACAAGTCCACTGCTGAACATAGGCCTCCCCCAAAGAATGCCACAAAGCACGGTCCTGAGCCACCTGCATCCATCGACTTCCTACATGTCTTACTAGGTCGTCACTCCATCTCGTGGGGGGACGTCCTACACTTCGCCTACCGGTACGAGGCTGCCACTCGAGAACCTTTCTTCCCCATCGGTTGTCGGTTCTTCGAGCTATATGGCCGGCCCACTGCCACTTCAGCTTACTAATCCGTTGGGCTATGTCGGTTATTCTGGTTCTACTGCGGATATCCTCATTCCTAAGTTTATCAGGCAGAGAAACTCCGAGCATAGCCCTCTCCATAGCTCGCTGAGCGACCTTGAGCTTCTTCATACGGCCAGCAGTAAAGGACCACGTCTCAGTTCCGTAAGTCATCACTGGCAACACGCACTGGTTGTACAATTTCGTTTTAAGGTTTTGAGATATGTCTGACGAGAAGATGTGTCGTAGCTTCCCGAACGCTGCCCAGCCGAGTTGAATCCGTCGATTGACCTCTCAGTCGAAGTTGGACTTACCTAGTCGGACTATTTGTCCCAGGTAAATATACTCGTCAACAACTTCGAGCTTAGTGCTCCGAACAACTACCGGCATAGGTGTGACATGGACATTAAACATGATCTTTGTTTTGTCCATGTTCATCTTTAGACCTATCCGTTGGGAAACACTATTGAGGTCATTGAGCATAGTGCTTAGGCCCTCCAGCGATTCTGCCATAAGGACTATATCGTCATTACATTTTAGGTAAAGTAATATAATGTACTCTAAATTTACACTACGAGTACTACCCATTTACAGAAGTTGCTTTTGTATAAAATATAAAAAAAATTCTAAGTAGAAAGATATTTTTCATACAATAACCGAATATTTCAATAATCAATAGGAGTTCAAAGTTATTCTACCAAGATTCGTAAATATTTTAAATTTTCTTATTACCTTGTATAATAAAAGATCTTTAGTTAAATTATTTTATTAAATATAATATGCATAATTTTGTTAATTAGTTAAATTAACTTTTTGTTAATTAAATAATTCTAATAATTAACTAAAATTGTTTTTGTTAATTAGTTAATTAAACTATTAACAAAAATTGTAAAAATTAGTTAATTTTTTATAGCATAAGGGTGACAAGCAAGCACATAGTCCAGCTGATGTTAAGTAGTTGCTGTGTTCCATAGAAATCTGTCCTCGATTACGAATCAAATTGCAGATGCGTTGTCACCCGTAAGGACTAAGATGGAATGCCTCGTTTCCAGTAAAAAGGGTCTCCGGTTCTTTACACTCACCATACGAAACACAGCCGTGTTACGCTTTTATTCTGAGAGAGCGTGGTCCTTCCCCGGTCGAGCCGAACCATTCGTGTTACAACTGTACTATTAATATAGCTGTAGCATGGCTCTACCACGTATGAGCTGCAGCGTAGCTCTACCACGTGAAAAAAAATAATAGAATATTTAACTATGTAATAATTTTTTTTAAATATACATTTTATAAATACATACGGTAAAGCCATGCAGCAGCTATATTATACTTGTATCTATAGCACGAATGGGTCGGCTCGACCGGGGAAGGACCACGCTCTGAAGATACCACCTTAATATTGCTGTTTATATGGTGAGTGTAAAGAACCGGAGACCTTTTTTACTGGATACGAGGTATTCCATCTTTGTAGTCCTCAGGGGTGACAACACGTCTGCATTTTCATTGTTAATCGAGGATGCCGTAGGTATCAATGGGCCACAGATCCATTACCATCGGGTGGACTATGTGCTCGTTTTTCACCCTTATTCTATTAAAAACATGCCAAACCTCTTAAATGTTTTATCGGTACTCCTGTAAAAGGTTATTAAGCGATAAGTACCTACCATTTGTAATTTAGGTCAAAACCTTATTGTACTCTTATTAAGCTAAAAAATACTTGAATACTTGAAGAAAAATCATGAAAACTAGCATTCATATGTTTTACTAGGTCTACGATCTACGGTTTGGTCTTCTCGAACAAATAAATACTTTATCATCACTTAAAGGCTTCATGGCTTAACATTGAGTTGCAGCGCTGATAGCCGCGTTTTCGAATCCCACACAGAGAAGTATTTGTATGGCCTACAAATAATTATTCTGGACCTGAATGTTTGTCCTTTTGCAATTTATGTTTGTAAACTGCTTTTACGATACACGTGAAAATCCTAAAGTAAGTGTAACGTTTATTTCTTTAAAGAAAATAAAACTAATTGTCTCCGTGATTATTTCTCTGACGCCCAAAATTGGACTTTTTTGTCTGACAGTCCTTGTTTTAAGTAACAGCAGTTAAAAACAGTTGTGCGAAATAAAATTTCTAAAAAATTGACAACTTTTTACTGCGCAAAAGGTAAGGTTCTGGTGTGCTGATTACCATATCACACTGTTTCTGTAAACGAATTCAAAGGATATCCATCCGGGTGGCGTTTAGTCTATAGTCTATACAATATGTAACAAAAACCCTGTGGTTCCTTTTAAGTACGTTATCAGGATCATTATTCAAACGTATAGATATAACTTTTTTTAAAACTCGAACAATATTTTTTTTATTTAAAAAAATAATTGAATGCAAATTGTATGTGGTTTTATTTCCTCTGCATTGTCTGGGGAGTAAGAGGATTGTCAAAGACCCCGCTTTACTTAGCTTTAGCATGGGCTAGTGTCAGTACGAGGTAATAAAACCACATAAAATTATTTTTTTTAAATAAAAAAAGATTATGGTCGAGTTAAAAAAAAGTTATTTCTAAAGGTTTGAATACTGATCCTGATAACGTACTTAACGGTAACCACAGGGTTTTTGTTACATGTTGTATAAACGTATTCCTCTCTTGTCTCACTGGAAGAGATATTTTTTTAATATGCAGTCTTTAACTACCACTGCCATATTTTTTCCACACAGTAATTATTTTAAAAATTAGGAACAATCCTCCTTATATTAAACAATGTATAATGAGGATGCTAATTTATTTCCATATAATACCGTAACTGTTACACAATTATTTGTTACACAATGATTAAATTTCTTATTTTTTCATGTCAAATTTTATTTTACTTTCACAATCAACCCGCATTTAAGTGTTCTTTGTCATGATGAGTTGGAAAATACATTATGTATTAAATGCAAAGCTCTCATTCGAATCTCCATTTTGGATTACGAAATTTACGTTATACAAGTTACTACTAAACTAGGTGTTCGGACTCTTTTTTGCAGGTTCTCAATTCGAGTGTAGATATGTTCTTTTTTTGTATGTATATTACGCGATATCTTCACAGATTGTGAACCGATTTTAACGATTCTTTTTTTTAAATAGGCTTAACGTCAAGGGTAGTCCCATTAAAATTTGAAGAAAAACTGCCAAGGGTGGAAAATAGGAGAAAAGTTTCATATTGGACTATATCATTTCATATCTTTAAATAAGAATTTCATATGATATCTTCGCAGATTGCGAAGCGATTTTAATGATACTTTTTTTATTAAATAGCTTATACTTCAAGGATGGTCCCATATAAATTTGGAGAAAGAATTCAAGGAAAAAAAAGGAAAAAGTAAAATTAACAAATTTGAAGTCCGTTTTTACTTTATATTAAAAGTTATAATTACGAGTATCTGCCTACCCGTCTGGGTGGGTACCACCATTTTACATATTTCTATCACCAAATAGCAGTGCTTCAACTGCTGCGTTCCGGTCTGAAGGGTATATATAGAAAGTCAGTATAATTTTTTTATTTTTTTTTATAGGATTGGGTGACAAACGAGCACACAGTTCACCTGATGGTAAGTGGTTGCTGTGACCCATAGACATCGACATTTATCCTCAATAAAAAATCAAAATGCAGATACGTCGTCAACCGTGACTAAGATGGAATGCGTCTTTTCCAGTAAAAAGGGTCTCCAGTTCTCTACATTCACCATACGAAACACAGAAGTGTTACGCTGGTATTCTGCGAGAGCGTGGTCCTTCACAATTACACGCTGTGAGGCGTTCTATCTTAGTCCTCAGAGGATACGACGCATCCGTAGCCTTCTTTGTTTGAAGCTGACTCATGGAATACAGTAGTCACTTACCATCAGGCGAATTGTAATTTCCTTTGACATTTTAGTTTTATAAAAGAATAGCCTTCTAAAATATGCATGTTGTATTCGTCTGTATGTTGCTGAACAATTTTATATAGTTTTAAGTTTTAAATATTTTTATTTTAAGCCTTATAAATATAAAGTTGCAGCCTACATAGGTATATGTCCCACGCCTTTCTCTCTCTCTCTCTCGTGCTTATACCTTGTAAAACAATATTACAAATTAATACTAATTATTTTTCTTTATCAAGCAGTAAAATTCTCCCTACTGCTTGACTTAGGCCTCACCGATTGGATGGGGATTTGTTACCTTACATTACAGACCTTTATACAATGTATTTTCGCCTTTATAATAGAAAAAAAAACAAAGATTTATGATCGTAAAAATGTTTTTTTCAACAAACTACAAAAATAAGAAGGAGCTTCTCAATTCATCGGAATATTTTTAATGTATGTTCAGCGACGTTGTCCAATATTAATTATTTTTTTTCAACAGACTTCAAAAAAAAAGGTGGAGGTCCTCAATTCGACTGTAATTTTTATGTGTGTTACCTTTGAACTTTTCTCTAGGTGAACCGATTTTGATGATTTTATTTGAAACCTGGTGCTTCTCATATGGTTCCATATAAATTTGATCAAGATCTGACCAATAGTTTTAAAGTTATCCATAATAATGAGTATTTAATTGACTTCGACTACATAAATGATGTTCTCATTTTATTTATATTGAGATCGGTTGTACAATTTTTTTTAATTTTATCACTTTTTGT